GAATAAAACAACCAAAGTGTTTAAATACTCGCTGCGTTTGTGTTAATATTCCTACTTAAACACAAAGATTCAGTAGCTTCAAATGTATAGTGATCTCCAAAATAAAAAGTGCGGATCGTTTTCGAACGAAGGATTTTTATCCTTCTACTAACCAATTAAGAACTTACACGTAAGAACTAAGAAGACAACTCTCGTGTGAGGCAGCCGTCCCCGCGATGCTGACATTTACCTACCCAAAAGTTTCCAAACATTAAGTTTCAAAAAAAAAAAAATTTCCAAACATTTTCCATAATTGTTTTAGGGGTTTTCGTTTTTGTTTCAAGTTTTTTTCTTAAATAGATAACTGTTTAGATATTTTTCTTTTGAAGTCAAAATTTTGAAAGAGAAATTGTCCTGATTTTCTTTTACTTAAAGATGTATTGGTTATAAATACAACCGTGTAGTAGAACCGAGTCGAAATTCATTTGGATTCAAGCTGGACGAGGGTGTGTTTAAAGGTTAATATCTTATTCAATATTATTTATTTGTAATTTAAACTAATTGCACGAAAAAAATTTGAGAAAATTGTAAAAATATAATTTTTATGTGCATATTTGCAAAAATGCTACTTAGGAGTGTTCATTTACAAAAATACCACTAATTATAGATTTTTAAACCCTAAATTTCTCTAAACCCTCATAATTAAATTCTAATAGAACATAATTAACCCAAACATCAATAATATAAAAAAAAAATTAAAAATAACATTTTTGTAAAAATTTCAAAAATGTGGCATTTTTGTAAAGTGTCATTTGAAAAGTGGTATTTTTTGAAATTTCTCATAAATTTCTTATCTTTTAATATATTTTAACGTCTCATCTATTTTTCCCACATTAATATTTTTAGCAAGTAGAGATAGTATGTCCATAATCCGTTATATATATGATAAATAATAAGCATTTTAAACATCTATGTTACCAGTGCTCCCAGACTAGGATAAGTTAGTTTGTGAACTAATGTACTTGAGATGGTAATAGGTCCTTATTGCTATGCTTGGTTTTTTTACGACAATCCAATAGCATACATTTGTTTGGCTAAATTCTGAAATATAATATTTTTTTTTTTATTAAAAGGGTAAATTTTTCATTTATGTTATCCTGACTTTACAAGAGATAAGTTTAAACATTGTTTTGCAAGGTAATCAGCCCTAGCATTTTGTTTCCTGTAATACAACAAAAGGAAACTTGTTCGAAGGATTCGGCAAAAGCCTTGATGTCTTCCATGATACCATATAGATTCAGGAGCGATGTTCCCGAATTGATGGTGTTGATGAGTTGAGATGAGTCCGACTCAAATCTCGGTTTTTTAGACCCTTTTCCATAGCGTAGGAGATGGTTTCTCGTAGTGCTAAAGCCTCAGCCATGAGGTGGGAGCATGTGTGTCTCTATTTTACTCTGCTCCAACAGTCCGGCTCCTTGCTGTTTTATGGTCCATCCCAAACCAGCTGTTTTTGTTTCCGCGTTCCACGCAACATCGGATTGGCAAATGATGGTGTCGGGCTCAGGTCTACGACTACGTAAAGGCTTTCTTCTAGTTGGAGGGGGTGAGGTTTGTTGAGCATTAGTCCATTCTCTTTCCATTATGATGGCTGAGGTAAGAGCTTCTTCTGTTGTGACAATCTTGTCGTTGAAGACTAGCTTGTTCCTGCATATCCAAGGGGCCAAGGGTCCCAACGCTATACCAGTCGGTGGGAGGCATATCATCTTTTTTATTATCTCCCAAGCTTGTTTGTAGTCGTCCCATAACTCTGTTTCCGTATTGCACAAGAATGGAGATGATCTCCACACTTGTTGGGAGAACGAACACTGAAAGAAGAGGTGAGAAATGGTTTCGACTTCACCACATCTTTTGCATAAAGGATCTACCGGGACATGTCTGATCAGCAGCCTTTCTCCCACCGGTATCGCTTGGTTTGCGATCTTCCAGAGGAAGAGCTTTAGCTTAGGACTTACATTCTGCATCCATACATTCGGTAACCATTTGAAACCGTCTGAGTTTGGTTGATGATCCTCTGTTTTCTGCTTCTCTAAAGCTGTAAAGTATCCCGTTTTTGTTGTATAAGCTCATGATGATTTTCCATTCCAAACCAGTCTGTCCGGAGCTCCAATGTGACTCGACTTTATTTGTAGGATTTCTGTTTCATAGTCTGGGATTATGGCTTCGATCTTTGGCAGGTCCCACGTTGTAGTATTAGGTAGAAATAGGCCACGGTGAAATCTTTTGCTGCAAGTGGGGCTGGTCCAAAGGGAGTTCGGTTTGTTGGTGATGGAAGCCAAAGGTCAGTCCAGATGTTCACTGCAGTT